TTTCCATCTCAGCCCTTTCACATGTAGCCTAGATGATTGCTCCTTTCTCTACTGATTCATTTTCTTGTTTCATCCTCTCATCCTGTGTTCTAAAGCAATCAAGGGTATGTTCTAATATTTCTACATTAAATACTAAAATTGCAACATCTCTTGCATTTATTAATCAGTTAGCCTTAAGTCCTCATCCCAGTTGACTAAATAAGTGAATGTAAATGATTATTATTTATTTAATAAACTGGAGGGACCTCTTTTCTGATAAGCATAAGTAAATGCTTTGTATAAATAAGCCCCTTAATCTCCTACGCTTAAATAGCTATAAAGGTTACTGGTTGTACAACTTATTAACAATGTCATAAATAATAAAACAAAGACAAAAATTATTTTCAGTGTACCAGCTGTGAGAAAGAGCACAGCCAATCACAACTGCTGACTTCTCAATTCTAAAACATAGTTCCACCGTTCAGCTTTCTTAAGACAGCAGCTAAAGCCTTTCAAGAATTCTCTTTGTAGTGTTTTTTTTTAAGATGAGTTGAAACAGTTCTTTTAGGGAAAAAGTTCTGTATTCTCATCTTTTTTGTTTTTGTGGCCAGGCAATTGGGGTTAAGTGACTTGCCCAGGGTCACACAGCTAATAAGTGTCAAGCATCTGGTCTGAGACCGGATTTGAACTCAGGTCCTCTTGACTCCAGGGCTGGTATTCTATCCACTGTGCCACCTGGCTGCCCCTATTCTCTTCATCTTCTTCCCCTCTGTAGCTTACTATCAACACAGGTAGCAGTCTCTCCAGAATGACAAACTGCTAGTCTCTAAAGATTATATTGCCTCTTAAAGATACAGTTTTGACATCTATGATATATGTTATAGATGAGGCTGAATCTTTTCATGAAGTTCATTTGATAGCAAAAAAAAAGTTAATGTGATCTTAAACACTAATCAAAAAGTATTGCTGGAGTGTAATGGTTCAGCTATAGTATGTGCTAGTTAGACAACATAAATTTTGTGTCAATTTCCATGTGCCATATTTTAGCAAGGACATTTGCAAGCTTGAGCAACTCCAGAAGATGGCAACCAGAATGGGGAGAGGACTGGAAAATGAATCAAATAAGGATTAGTTGAAGCAATTGTGATTTCTGACTTCGAATATTTGAAGGATTTTTATGTGGAAGAGAGAATAGACTTGTCCTAGAGGGCAGAATTAAGGCCAGTAGTTATTTTTTGATGTGTTCTATTATAAAGAAAACAGCTGAGTAGCCACAGTCGATGCCAAAAAAATCTTAGAATAGTTTTGCAACAACATATAGAATCATATTGAACAAAAAAAATTTAATATAATCAATATACATTGAACTGGACTGTGTGCAGTCATTCTTACTGCCTCTCAATGGGAGGCTTGGCACCTTTTGGGTCTAGGTGAGTCAGTTGTTTGAGCATGACTTCTACCCCAACTTGGATGGGTTGGGTATGAAAAAGAACACTATCTTTTACCACCAATTTCCCATTTGTAATTCTTCTTGCCCTCAAGGACCTTATATTATGTCAGGGAAATTGTTGTTGTTTCCTTAGTTCTCCAAGATGACCATGACATCGGGAAGGTGGTATCTTGGCTTGCAAGTGAATTAGATTTAAGTGAAGCAAGGCTGTGCAGGGTCACCAGCCTCGCTTTCTCCTCTGGAGCCATCTGGGTTAGATCAGAACAACTAGAGATGGCCATGGATGCATACAGCCCTTTTAAGCTAAGGTCTTTCCCAAATCTGTTTGTCTGAGGCACTGCCCCATTCAGTGATTAAGGCTAGGTAAAAAGTGAGGCAAAGAATGGCTTCTTTTACTTAGTCAAAAAAAAATCCATCTAGGAGGGGAAGACCCTCAGGGTTTCTGGCCAAAACAGAAGCAATTGCATTTACACTCACTCTGAGCAATAAACAATAACCAAACAATGTAGCAAATGAGGCTTGGGCTGGGACCTATTGTTAGCCAATCAATGAGAGCCAGAGTGATCTGGGTTTTTAAGGCATGTCCTTAAAAAAGAAATCTAGGAGCAGCTAGGAGGCACAGTTGATAGAGCACCCGGCCTGAAGTCAGGAGGACCTGAGTTCAAATCGGACCTCAGACCAAACACTTGACCACTAGCTGTGTGACCCTGGGCAAGTCACTGAACCCCAATTGCCTGCCCCCCCCAAAAAAAAAGGAAAAAAAAAGAAATCTAGCCAGTAAACCCTGAGATATCTTGTGGTATTTTAGTAATCAAAATTTATATTCCTTTAGGCAGAGCACCCACAGGTAAGGGTATGATTCCCTATGTGGACAGAAGGAGAAGAGGGAGGAAGAGGATGGAGGGAAGAAAGGAAGGAAGGAAAGGAAGGAGACAGGGAGGAAAATAGTATATAGATGTATAAATACGCACAAAATAAATAGTAATTTTGGAGAGGAGGATGCTAATGTCTGGGAATGAAATTTTTCAGGTAGAACATGGCACTTAAACTGAGTTTTGTGGGAAACATGGGATTCTAAGGGAAGTAAGAAGGAAGTACATTGCAGACCTGAGGGAACAGCCAACACAAAGGCACGGTGATTAATTGTCCGGTCTAGTTAAACCAGAGTGTGGGAAACAGAACAATATTGTAGGAAAAACTAAATGGCCAAAAATCAATTAAGATTTTTTTAGCAAGAGAACTGAATTTTAGAGCTGTGGGGCCCCTTAAAGGTCATCTTGTTCAAAGCCCTCAGTTTATGAATGAGGAAACTGTATTCTAGAAAGGCTTTGCCAATATCGTGCAGTGAGAAGAAAGCAGTTCACTTCCATTTAACAAGTATTTATTAAGCACCTACCGTGTGCTAAACACTATGTTTGTCCCTGGGGTCTCAGAGACAAAATGAAAAGCAATATGCAAGGAGATTTTTTTTGTCAAAATGTTTTTTTTTTAAATTTTAAACTTAAATATTAAAACTAAATGCACAAGAAAAAAAAACATATTATAAACTTAAATATTAAAACTTAAATGCAAAATAAGAAAAGAAAAAAAGGCATTGCCCATTATACGCAGCAGAACATGAGAGGATTCAAAATATACAACAATAAATTTCTATTTCAAGAGATAAAAGCTGTCTATATTTTCTTTGCTTCCTTGTGAATTTTCTTTTGTTCTCTGCTGTGCACTTTTTACTTTGTTCTTTTTTTCCCTTCCTCGCCCCCTCCCCAAAGCTACAATTAAGCTCAGAAACAAGGAGATATTTTAATAGTCTGACATTGTTGTATAAGATGGATGGATGGATGGATGGAGAGAGAGAGAGAAGAAATAAGGAGACCAGCTAAGATGCTGTAACACAAGAGTGGATTGGTAGCTGTGAAAATGCAGCTGCTAGATTTTGGGTGGGGGGAAGGAGAGAGGAGAGAAAAATCATGGCCCAAGGCCATGCAGAGTTTGAATATATAGGTGATATTTCTGTTGTTCCACCCATCTCTGCCCAAGTCAAGGCAAAATGGATTCCCCAATGCCAAGGCCTTGCAGAGTTTGAATATATAGGTGATATTTCTGTTGTTCCACCCATCTCTGCCCAAGTCAAGGCAAAATGGATTCCCCAATCTGGAGTCAAGTTTGTTATACTTGTCTAGGGTTTTGCCTTCTTTTTTCCCACCCTAATTCATCTCTTGGGCTATATGCAGTCATCCTTACTGTTCTCTGTGGTAGGCTTGGCATGTTTGAGGCTAGGTAAGTCAATTGTCTGAGCGTGGCTTCTTCCCAGAACTGAATGGGATGGGTATGAAAAAAATACTATTTTTTGCAACCAATTTCCCATTTGTAACTCTCCCTGTAACCTTAATTCAATCCCTTTTCCACTTCCAAGATCCTCCCCAACTAGTCATCCCATCCTCTACCCAATCTTTGCTGGGTCTTTTGCTCCAGACCTTTCCAGAAGCCTGTCAAGTACCCTGTGCTCTTTGAAGCTTGGGATTCCTTTTCTCTCCTCTTGAACAAATCTCAAGTTCTGTAGGCAGATACGCTGGCAGCACAAACACAGAGCAAGTACCTACAGGCTGTGGGCCCCAGTGCCCAGTCCTGTTGTCAGCATTCTGCATGCCTCTGCCAGGCAACAACCTTATTTGGTTCCTGTGCGAGGCCCTCCTGCTCCCAACTCTATCTTCCCAACCAATAGCATTAGCAAGGAGTACCACCACCACAAAGAGTGTTCCTTAAAGAGTTAGTCAAAAGCCAGTGGGCTGAAGATCAGGATATCAGAGGGGATAAGTTCATGTATAAGTTGATCTGATTTCCTGATAATCTGAATATACAAGTGAAGTCATTCAGTACTTGGAGAGTTGGTCAAGTATGTGTGTGTGTGTATGTGTGTGAGCGCGTGTGTGCATGTCCACATATACATGTGGTAGTCTGGGGGATGGGAGGTATACAGCAAATTGCTGGGAGGGCAGGGGTTGATGGGCAGCAATTTCCTATCTCTTCTGAAAATTACTCAGAAGATAAGAATTTCAGAACTTAGGGTTATGAAACACTAGAATCAAGGTATGAAATGTTTTCTAGAGATTTCAGCACTATCTGGCCTAGGGAAGGAGCTATGTGGTAGGAGGGTAAGTCACTTGATGCAGAGGTGGGTGATAGTTGGGAAGGATGACCTGCTGCGTGCTCCCTCGTAAGTACGGTGACATGAGCCCAGGATGGCAGTGAGCTTCTAAGCATTCCGTTTGATTGAATGACAGAATGCTTGACAGTAGCACCTCCACTCTTAGCTCTCCTATCTCCTGGTTTACACTCCCTTTTTCTTCTTTGACTGTGTACTCATTTTCACCATCTTTTTCTGCATAGAAAGTTCAGTTCCACTTGAATTTGTGGGCTTGAAGCACTCAAGGCAAGAGGGACTTAACTCTGGCAAAAGGTCTTGAGTGTAGACAAGACCCGAAGTAAAAATCCTTTCCACTTGAGTAGGCCCAAGGGTGGATTGGAGGGTAGGGGGTGCAGGTGCCGACTCATCCTTCCCTGGGTTCCACAGTCATCCTGACAGATGAAGAGGTCCAGAGGAAGCGGGAGATGATCTTGAAGCGGAAGGAGGAGGAAGCACTGAAGGATAGTCTGAGGCCCAGGCTTTCTGAAGAGCAGCAGCACATCATCACCACCCTATTGGACGCTCACCACAAGACCTTTGACCCTACTTATTCAGACTTCAGCCAATTCCGGGTAGGACTGACATACAACCACTAGCCTGAGTTGAAGTACAGACACAGCTTTGGGGAGCAGGCAAGGGACATTTATCAAAGAGCAATTTGGCAAATTTATGACATGGCAAAGAGCAGTGGGTCCCCCACTGGATAGGCCCAATCTTCCATGAGAGAGAGAAGGAACAAGGGGCCCTCTCTTCCTATAGTCCTTGCTGCTGCCTCTGTCCAGAGACACAGGCACAAATATGGGCCTGGAAAACTTGAATTGATATATTTTCCTTTTTTCCCCCCACTTCAGCCTCCAGTACGAGGGGATGAAGGTGGAGGCATCCATCCCTCGAAATCATCCTCAGAGCATACACCCGGTTTTTCAGGGAGCTTCTTGACTTCAGGTAACTACATAACTTCTCCAGATATTGTGGGACTAACTGCTTTCAGGGCTTAAGGAAGAGAGAGATCAGGGAGGTTTAGATGTCCCATCTTATTTTTGGAACTCTTTCATTCCTCCTGAGCATGTGGTTGGTTCAACAAATATGAAGGTAGGAATAAAATATGAAGGTGACCATGAGTATGTAGTTGTAATATGACTAAGACACATATCCCTATGGAGATCCCTGGCCCTTTGAACAATGCTTTGAGTCTGAGCCCATTGGAAAGTAAAGTCTAACATGGGTCCTTGCGGTCATCTAGTCTATCCTCTTACGTCCTACCTCTAGTCTGATCTCATACCAGTCTGGCACCAGAACTGAGACTGGGGAATCTGTCTTACCCTAAATAACTTGTTGGCTTTAAGCTCCCTCCAGGAGAATGAGTATATTATAGTCTCCTCCCCTCCTCATTGTCTCCTGTTTGTTCTCATCTTCTCTTTGATCTTGTCCTCCCCAAATTTCCTCAGCCTACTGTCTGGAAAAGGGACATGAGAGAGCAGAGAAAAAGTTTCCTGTGTCAGAGGTAACTCTATAGAAGTTGTTATCCTCCAGGCCTATAGAATAGATGACCCCAAATTTTTTAGTTATCCATAGAAAAGGGAAGATAAAGTCTGGACAGAAATGAAACCCCCTTGACAGTGTCTCCCACTCTTTCTTTTCCCCCATTCTCTGACAAAGAAATGACCCTTGTCTTTGCCAAAGCCAACCCATTTATGTGTGCACTTGATTTCCTTCCCTCCAGTCCTCTCCAATAGATTGCATCCTCTATCACCCCTTCCTCCCAGATCTTCAACTTCTCCCTGTTTAATAGTTCTTTCTCTACTACCTTCAAATATGTCCATGTCTCTTCTGTACTTAAAAAAAACCGTTACTGGATCTTACCATCCCTTCAAGTAATTGTCCTTTATCTCTCATCCTCCCTTTTTTTTTTTTTGGCTAGGCAATGGGGTTAAGTGACTTGCCCAGGGTGACACAGCTAATACATGTCAAGTGTCTAAGGCCAAATTTGAACTCAGGTCCTATTGACTCCAGGGCCGGTGCTCTATCTACTGTGCCTAGCTGCCCCTCTCTCCTCCTTTTCTAAACCAAACTCCTTGAAAAAAACAGTCTCTATTTACTGTTTCCACTTCTTCTCTCACTCACTTCTCAATATCTTGCAGGCTTCCTTCTGACCTCATCATTCAATGGAAGCTACTGTCAAAAATGATTTCTTAATTGCTATATCTGATGGTCTTTTCTTAATCCTCATCTTTCTAGATCTATCTACTGCATTTAATACTGTTAACCACTTGCTCCTCCTGGACACTCTTTCTTCTTTCTACTTTCATGACTGCCTTCTGGTTAGCTTCCTACCTGTCTAATCATTCCTTCTCTGTATTCTTTGCATATTCATCATCCACATCATTCCCCCTAACTGTGGGTGCTCCCCAAGGTGCTCTCCTGGACCCTCTTGTTTATATATTCTTTCTCTCTTGGTAACCTCACAAGCTCTTATGGATTTAACTAACATCTCCATGCAGATAACTCACAGATATATGTATGTGTATATCTATGTGTAGATGTAAATACATACGTACATACATATATACATATATTTATTTATACACTCGTCTGTGTGTGTGTTTGGGGGGCCCAGATTTCAGTCCCATATCACCACTTGTCTATTGGACATTTCATCCTTTCTTCCTCACCCTCTCTTACCCACATATCCAACAAGTTTCCAGACCTTGATATTTCTACATGTACAACATCTCTCCCATCAGACCTTTCTCCACATTCACACAGCTACCCCCTTTGTTCAGGCCCTCATCACCTCTCACCTAGATTATTGCAACAGCTTCCAAAAAAAAAAAAACAGCTTCCTAATTGGTCTCCCTCCCTTAAGTCTCTCACTATTCTAATCCATGCTTACACACTGCTGCCAAAGTAATTTTCCCTAAGTATAAATTTGACCATGTGACTCCCCTGCTCAATTAACTCCAGTGGCTCCCTATTGCCTTTAGAATAATATATAAAGACCTCTATTCAGTTTTTATAGCCCATCACAACCTGCCCCCAATGGTTGAACCTGTCTTTTCAGCCCCACTGGACTCCTGCACTGTGCTGTCCAGCAAAACTGTCCTCTGTTTCTTACATATGACACTCCATCTCCTGTCTCATTGACTTCCAATATGCCTGGAATTTACTCCCTCCTTTCTTTTGCCTCATTGAGTCCCAAACTGCCTTGTATTTAACTAACTCAAATATATTTGGATTTATTCACTTTATATTTTTTGTAGATTACAAATTTACTTGTCTCCCCTGATAGAATATAATAAGCTTCTTATGAGTGAGGATTACTTCATTCTTTGTACTTGTATCACCACCTAGTGCAGTGCCTGGTACATAATAGGGACTTAATAAATGTTTGTTGATTGATTGATGGTATAATAAAATGAGCAGATACAGGATGAGGATCTAGGCATTTTCTTTCCTCACCTCAGACACTATGGAGCCCATTTCCAACCTGGATTCTGAGGATCCCTCTGTGACCCTGGACCTGTCGCAGCTCTCCATGCTACCCCACCTGGCTGATCTGGTCAGTTACAGCATCCAGAAAGTTATTGGCTTTGCCAAGATGATTCCAGGATTCCGGTAAGAAGTCTCAATTCTGGGTAATAGAAGTGTTTTCTATCTAATCTTCATATTCTTTTAATGCAAAACTACACAAAATTACCCTCAGTGTCTACTCCATTCTGAGAGATAGATTTGTTAAGTGTATATTTTTAAACAAGGTCATCTTCCTAGAGAAAGATGGATTACTAGTTTAAGCGGTTGAGGTTGAATGTGACTTGAACAAGTAATTATATAGTGTCTGACTATATACAAGAAGCATGCTTTTGTGTCCCTGTGGAAGCCTATACTGACTTTCCTTTCCTTTCCTTCTCTGGATAGGAGAGTCTGCTAAAGGAATAACAGAAGTTTAGAATTAGAAAGGATCTTTGACGTTATCTAACCCAATGACTTCATTTTACAAATAAGGAGTTGAAGTGATTTGCCCAAAGACACCCAAATAGCTAGCAGAGAAGCCTGGCTCCTACTTCCATATTCCAGTAAGCAGTGCCTCCTTCAACTGTCTTCAAGAACTTATCATTTCATAAAGACTTTGTCCTGTTAATAAAGACAGCACATATTGCAATACCTTTAAGTCTTAACAAAATTTAAGGTGTTTTCAAAATGTTGTGAGGGTTAGAGCTTTATGGGTAAGTTTTTGTTGTTGTTGGCTAGTTTTATGGCGTGCTTCTTAGCATTTGTTGTTCAGGTTGGTAGGGCTCCAGTCACATTAAGGTAGAAGCAAACTTTGAAGTACAGTAGGCTGCGCTATGGAATTCTCCAATTCCATAGGATTATGCCTCATCTCAACATCATCAGTGACTAATAAACTGCTGTCTCATCAACATAGTTATGGTCATTGACCAATCAGTGCAGAGTTCTTCCCAGTTATTCTCCAGCCTCTCTTGGCCAGTGTCATTTTATTTTATACTCCTACCTGCTCCAAAACTAATAGGTCTCCAGTTCTTGGCCAAAACAAACCAGAAAACACTTTAGAAAACTCCAAAGCATTTTGACATATTTGGGAAAATAACGTATTTGACAAAACATGTGAAGTGTTCTTAAGAAGATCTTACTTCAAGATGTGAGAACTCACCTCCCACTACTACTGAGCAGAAGGGGGGGCACGAATGTAGAACATTGTATGTGTTATGAGATTTTTTCAATATATTTATCAATTTTATTGTTTTGTGCTCTTCCTCTTCTTCATTTCAAAAAAATTCTTTGTTATATGGAATGTTTCTTTGGAAGGGGAAAGGGGAAACAGGCTACATAAAACAACAAATATCAATAAAATGTATTTAATTTTTAAAAAATAATATCTTATCTTTTTTTGTTGAGGCAGTTGGGGTTGAGTGACTTGCCCAGGGTCACACAGCTAGCGTCAAGTGTCTGAGGCCGGATTTGAACTTAGATCCTTCTGACTCCAAGGCTGGAGCTGACTCCACTGAGCCAGCTAGCTGCCCCATCTTATCTTAATACTTTTTAAAATTGTGATTTAATCAGTGTGGTGATGGAAATCACTACCCTTTCCATGACTTAATAGGTGGTTTTACATGAGTAACCATGACCAGCTCACAGATGATGAATCTCCCTGAACCAAGCTAAACTGGTCCTCAAACAACAGATGCACTGCCTATCATGAGACCTATGGAACCTTTCCATCTTGGCTGGACTTTTCAGAGCTTACATTTTATTTGTACGTCCTCGGAGAACCTAGGATCACCTCCATGCCACAGTAGAGTATCAGAGTAAAATGTTATTAGTTAGGTGGCACAATGACTAGACCTCTAGACTTAGAGTCAGAAAGACCTGAGGTTTAAATCTGGCCTCACTTACAATATATGTGAAGCTGGGCAAGTCACTTAACTTGACTGTGCCTCAGTTTCCTTATGTGCAAAATGGGGGCAATAACAGCACCTACCTCCCAGCATTTTATCTTCCAAGAGGATAAAATGAGATAATACTTTTAAAGTGCTTTACAAATTTTAAAGCCTAGGTAAATGCTAGCTATTATTAACATTACTAAAAGGGTGGCTTAATTGTATTCAAATAGAACAAGCACAGCAGAGACGTGTCATAGCAATCCATAACAGAGTCATAGCAATCAAGCGATGAGTAAGTGATTGTAACTATGTCTGCCACATACCCAGCATGTGCCCACTTGGAATTGGCAAAACATCCCCTTTGTTCAGTAAATCCCTACTTCTCACCCTCATCCAGTGGGTTATGGTTTGCAGATGTGGTTTAACATAGAGCTAACATTTGTTTTGTGTAAACAAATGAGAAAAATCATAAACAGCACAGAGTACCTCTTTTCTGCACCATTGCAACATAGTTCCATTTTAATGAGACTTAATTACAAGTACCACACTTCTGATTGAAATAAGAATCCACCTTGTATGCAGTGGTGGATTGTACTGGGAACCCTAAGGAATCATTCATTCAGTGAGAATCCTAAATTCTGCCTCCTTTCACACCCTGCTCTTTCAGTGGCTCTCAGTGGCTTTAGTCTCACTTTCTGTATCCTAGATGGATTTGCTCCTTATTTCCCTTGGTTTTCCCTGATGCTGGAATGCCCTGCTTGAAAGGCCAAAGAGAGAGATAGTTGTTGGCAAATTCAATAGATGCTTAGATGACAACATGAACCAATCATCAATGCCAGTCGTTGGTAGTAAAAGATATCTCTAGTGGAAAGAATATTAGATTTGAAATCAAATCCTGACATTTCTCTGGGCTTTAGTTTCCTCATTAATAAAATGTGAGAATTAGACTAGGTCAGGGGTGCTAAACCTTGGGTCCACAGGGCTCCCAAGGGATTCGTGGATAGATTTGGGGAGAGGGGGTTGTGGAATAGGAAAAAAGTACATCTTTATTTTTATTAATTGTAAATGTAGTATTTCTTTCAGTTATGAAAGTAGGCAACAAATATTATTTTGAGGAGTCCACAAGCTTCACCAGACTGCCAGAGGGTCTATGAGACACACAAAGAATTCCTACGTAGGCACATGACTGACACAGAGTGAAAGCTCACTATAGTCCTAGGACTAGATGATTTCTGAGGTACCTTAAGGATCTTAAAAACTATTTTCCTCTGAATCAATGCCAGTGTTTTGTTTTGTTTTGTTTTTTTCTCACTGCAGACCAAGTCTGCCTAGGCAAGTGCCTTCTGGAAGGACAATGGTACAGCTTGTGCCAAGGTCCAGGATGGTAAAGATCAGGGTGAAGACCTCAGGGCCCAGGTGGGACCCACGTGGGGTTGGGCAGGGCAGACAGTTTCCTAGCAACCTGGTTCTTCTGGTTTATGAGCTTGGGGGTTCTGTTATTCCAAGAACTGAAGGAACAGTAGCTTTATCCCTTGCAGCTTTGATCTTGGTGCCCAGGAGTAGAAGTGGAAGGTGGAGGGCTTAGGGAAGGGAAGATTAGACTATGAGAATAGGTTAGGGGTGGGGGGGATACATTAGGAAACCCCTACATAAGCATGTGACCAGCATAGACTAGGAGCTGAGTATGGGCCTGGCCTTGGCCCTGTTCCAGTGCTTAGAACAGTGCCTGGCACATAGTAGGGGCTTGTTGACTGCCTGACTGTTCCTCCTTAGCCTCTGGGCTAGGCATTAAAAGGCTTACGTCCTACACGTTATCTTTTCCCCTAGAAGGAAGGAGAAACCATAAGACAATCATTGCTGGGGTGCCAAAACAGACCCCAAGTATCCACAAACATCCTTTGGGCTGAAAGCTAAGAGATGATAGAGCCCTTTGCTGCCTGGCCTTGACACCCTTGAGTTTCTTGGTCAAAGAAACATTGACTCAACTGAAGTCCATAGGGGCCAATAGCTCCAGGGGTCCTTAACGATTAGGCTAGATAGGAGCTAGGACTCGCTGGTGGGAAGGGAAGGCAGGGAGATGTGAAGGGAAAGGCCAAGTTCTGGAAGGGTGGGGAAGGCTACTTTGGAACTAGAAGCCCGTTCCAACAAACTCTTCAGAATGTGACCCCCACCCAGGCACCACCAGGTGCCCCAACTGGAAGAGGTTATTGCCAAACACTTCAAGTATGAGGGGTGTGAGCCTGTGTATAGCTCGAAGGACCAATAGCAGCAGTCCCATTGGTTCCTAAAACGTTAGAGCTGAAGGTTCTGGTTTGAAGGACATCTTGAGATTTGATTTGCCTTTACAGCAACACATTATTTAGGCCACTTGTCTGTAAGACATAAAAAGCGCTTACTATTGATGTGATAATTGGTCAATGTCCAAACTGCACAAACGAAGACAAGGAGATGCTATAGCGTAGGTTATAATCAGTATTCTTCTAGTCTAGATGCCTTTGTCCTAAGTTCAACCCATTCCCCACCCTGGTCCTTCTCTGCCTTGCTATGATAGAAGTCATTTTTTTTTCTTGTAGCTTGCTTTTTTCCAACCCATATAACCTTCTTCTAAGTTCTTGAAGGAATGAGGAATGAACCAGGCTAAATTGAAACATTCTTTACATTTGTAAAGTTTTCAAAGTTCTTTCAATTCCTAAAACTTGAGGCAGGTTTCTAGAGCCTGGTCTCCCCCTTCTCCTGAAATCTCTTTCTTACTTCCCCTTCATTTTTTCTCCTCTCCTTTGTCACTGCTCCTTTACTTTTTACCAAGGGTGTTTAGATTCTCCTCATTTTTTTTTTATCTTAAATTGTATTCACAGAAAAATTTTATTCAAATCACAGGAAGCAGTGGCCTCTCTATACTACAATTCTGGTTAGGCCATATCTAGAACACATTTTGAAGGACATTGACACACTGGAACTTGTCTTCTGAGGAGAAACTGAATGATAGGTGTCTAGAAACCATGTAATATGATACACAGTAGAAGGTACTGGAGATAAATTAGTCTAGAGGAGATAAAATTAGGGACAAAGGGAGCAGCATTTGGGATAAATCATTAAATAGTTTAAGGACTATTTAATAATAATTAATAATTTAATAAGGACTGTTATAAAAGACTATCTATACCTCTCAGAGACTGAGCTTTGTCATTCATAGTCCCATACTACTACACTTGGCACCAACAATCTCCTTCCACCTCTTTGTCTTCCCATTCTTGTACTAATCAATCACTAGCCACATAGGAAAATGGTATCTTTATCTCTCACCTCCTTTTTCTCATATTGCCCTACTCAGTCCCATCCCACTAATGCCTTATTCTAACCCTACCCACCTCTTCACTGCACCATCTGGAATTCCTGTTCCAAGGTGAACAAACTTCCTTTCAGTTTGGACAATTTTCTCTTACATTCCTTCCATTTTCCAGTTCTCATTGAAAGTTGACATCTGATTGATGACACCGAATTGCCAGCCATCCTCTCCAGCAGTGACTGTACCATCACTCACACACCTCCTCTCCACCACCCCATACACACTCTGTTCCTGGTGGGGGAGGGGGCTGGAATTGGAATACTCCTTACTCTCCATTGCCTCTTCCAGATTTTTTTTTTTTACTACCATCACTCAATACCTTGTCCTTCAAAGTTCACTATTAAATTTTTTTTGCTTAGGCAATCAGGGTTGAGTGATTTGCCCAGGGTCATACAGCTATTAAGTGTCAAGTGTCTGAGGCCAGATTTGAGCCCAGGTCCTCCTGACTCCAAGGCGAGAGCTCTATCCACTGAACCACTTAGCTGCCCCTAACAATTAAAATTTTTCATCCAGTCTAGATCATAGCAACTGTTGAGTACTAGGTTTCAAACTATTCTTCCTCCCTTCTCAAAGAGTTCAGCACCTGGTTCACTAACTTCTGCTCTTACACTTTTGTTGTTGAGTCATTTCAGTTGTTTCTGACTCTTCGTGACCCCATTTGGGGTTTTCTTGGCAAAGATGCTGGCGTGGTTTGCCATTTCCTTCTTCAGCTCATTTTACAGATGAGGCAAACAGAGTTAAGTGACTTGCCCAGGGTGACACAGCTAGTAAGTGTCTGAGGCTGGATTTGAACTCAGGTCTTCCTGACTCCAGGCCCAGCGCTCTGTCCACTGCGCCACCCAGCCCCTTTACACTAGGGACCTTGAACATACTCGTTGATGTTCCCTCAGACTCTCCACCCTCCCATTCCTTTCGCTTCTTCAAATCCCAGGACCTGTTACTTTACTCAACCTCATTCACATACAAGGATGGGTGGTCACACCCTCAATCTCATCATTACTCATGAGTTAGTTTACTTCCTTAATTAAAAACTCTGACATTCCTTTAAAGTCTAAATTGCTATCATCTAGTCTCTCCCTGTTGCCTCACCTCTCCTAAACCTTTTCTTCATCCTCCTCTCACCGTCCAATCCCTCCACCCCTCAGTTTTTCCTCAGGTCATTCTCCTGCTCTGACTTTACTCTTTAATCTCAAACCCATAGTTATCCAATTCAGTACAATACTGTCCTCTGCTCCCCTCATCCCCTTGTGCTATTCTGATCATTCCTTGCCAAATCTCAATCCTAGATTGCTCTTACCATCTGCTTCCTCCACAATGCTGCCAATCAGAGCTGGAGGAAGTCAAATAGCCATGCTGACTGGGTGTATCCATGATAATCAACTTCAACTGGGCCCTCACCAGAGCAAGGCAATTAGCTTATTCCTCTCTAATTGATTCTCTACGTCACTCTCCACACAAAAGCTATTTCAAACTTTCTCTTCTCTCCTCAAACTTTCCATACCTCTTTCTACCTACTCTCTTCCCCTTTCAGCTGATGGCCTTCTCTTCTACTTTACAGATAAAATCGAGACTATTCAACATGAGATCTCTCCTTTTCTCTGCTCTTCATCACAAAGCCCCTTGACATCATCCCACACTCTCCTCATCTCCCTCAGTCTGTGATAGTGGAAAGACTCTTTTCCTTGCCCAAGTCAACCAATCTACATATACCCTTGATATCATACCTCCCATCTTCTCTAGCATATTATATCTTCAATCAACCCCCTTCTCTCTAAACTTCAGCCTCTCCCAATATAATGGTTTCTTCCCTACTGCTTTCAAACATGCCCAACTCTCTCTCATCCTTATAAAACATTCACTTAAGCCCTGCCATCCCCTTAAAATATCATCCTCTGTTTCTCCTCTCTCAGCCAAAGTCCTTGAAAAAACTGCCTACATTCATTCCTTTCTTCTTTTCTAGTCCTCAGCCCTTAGCAATCTAACTTCCTAATTGATCACTCAACTGAAACCACTCTCTCCAAAGTTACCAAGGATCTCTTAAATGCCAGATCTAGTTGTTTTCTCAGTTCCTCATCCTTCTTGACATGTCTTTTCATTTGACATTATTGACTACCTGGATACTCTGGGTTTTTGTGACACTCCTCTCTCCTGGGTCTCCTCCTATCTGTGTGACTGTTCCTTCTGTTTCCTTTGCTGGCTCATCATCTATATCATGTCCCCTGACTATGAGTGGTTCCTGTCCTGGACCTTTTTCTTTTCCCTCTTTACACTCAATCTCTTATTGACTTAATCAACTGACATGGGTTTAACTATCATCTCATTGGTGGCATATATGTATATGTGTATAAATATATGTATGTATATATACATGTGTGTGAATACATCGTGTATACACTATATATCTATATAAATATAGATATAGATATATATTTCTCTCCACACACCCCTACCCCCAACCTCAGTGTTCTTCCTGAACATCATTTCCAGATCACCAGTGGCCTATCAGGTGTTTGAAACTAAGAGACATCTTAAACTCAACATGTCAAAAACATTGTCTTTCCCCAAAACTTTTCTATTGAAGGCATCCCCATTCCCCAGGGTTGTAAACCTTAGACTTACCCTTTCCTCCTCATTCTCCTATATTCCACATATCTTATCAGCTGCTACGTCTTACCATTTCTACCTCCTCCTCATCTCATATCCACACCTTCACTCTCCTTGCACAAACATCATCACTTTGTTTCAGTTCTTTGTCACCTCTCATCTAGACTATTGTAGCAACCTCCAAACTAGCCTCCCTTTGTTAAGTCTCTCCATGCTCCATTCCATCCTACATGCTGCTACCAAAGCAATTTTCCTTAGATGCAGATCTCACCATGTGACTCCCTTACTCAAACAATTTGAGTGGCTCCATATTACCTCTAGGATGAAAATAAACTTTTTTTAGCTTTTAAATCCCTTCACAACCTGCCCCCAGCCTCACTGGACATTACTCTTCTTCCAAATATCTGTGATGTAGCCAAACTGACCTTCTCTGTGTTGCTAATCCATGACACTCTGCCATCTCTCTACCTTTGCACTGACTGTGCCTGGAATGCACTTCCTCCTCACCTGAACTTCATAGAATTCCTCTCTTCCTTCAAAACTCATGAAACCTTTTCTGATACCCTCAAATGATTGTGCCTTCCCTTCCAAACTACCTTTTACTTAATTATTTTGTATTTATTTGTAATGATTCTCTTTATATGTAGTCTGTACAGTTTACTTGCTCCAAAGGTTTGACCTGCCTGATAATTGGTTTTTGTAGAAAATGTTTTACCTAATCATCTAACACACCTGATCTAGTCATGATGGTATGGGCCTTGAATGATTGGTAGGATTTCTGCCAGGAAAGAGGGTATGTCAGTCATAACGAATCATGTGAAATGAAGGGTTTGGACTAGATGACCTCTGAGGTCACTTCTGATGTTAAATCTGAGGTCACTTCTGACGCTAAATCTCAGATCCTATGATCTGATATGAGTGAAAGCACAGAGGGAGAAGGAAAGTGAGAATTATACTCATGGAACAGTGTATTTATAGGTAAGTACACACAAAAGTATAGTTTGCCTAGCAAATCTATAGAACAGATACAGAAGGAAGAAACTAGAGAAGGATTTTTGCTCCTATTCACCTTGGAGAGGAAAAAAGGAAAAGGGAGGGAAAGCAAGGATCCAGAAAATCTACATACCCTGGCAGCCCTAGGCTACTCTCCTGCCAGGCCAATGTAATGACTCAAAGCAAAGGAGCTAATCATTGGCTAAGAACTTACCATATTATTTAACATGCTGTTAAATCAACATCAGCACTCAAAGAAATTCCCCTAGCCTCTGACTGCCTGTTACTGCAGCTTCTGCTGTGTCAGGTTTGGCTGGCCAGGGTAAGGGAAGGCTTGGAGTAGGAAAAATTTAGAGAGACCAGAATTCCTCTACCACATTTTCTGCCCCCACTTTAAAGCCACCATGTTATTACTTGCCTTGATACTTAAACTGCAGACTCTCTTGGGTTTTTTTTACCTATTTTTTTAAAAAAATTACCTTTTTTATTATTAGTTTTGCCCTTATATGAAGAAGAATGGTGTAATATAAAGAACACTGAATGAGGAGATAGGACTTTGGCCCCCAAAAGAGATATAACTTCTTTCTGAATGTGGAGGGTCCACAAATATGGAACATTGCATATAGTGACAGATATTTTTAACGCGTTGATTGGTTTTGCTGAATTTTTTCTTCCCCTTAAAAAAAGTTCTTTGCTATAAATGATAACTTTCTGGGGAAGACAAGAGGAGAGATGCAGGGGAAAATCTAGGCTATGTCAAAACAAAAGATAGCCAGCTAATATCTATATAGTGCTTATGTACCAAACACTATGATGTCAACCAAAATCTGTTATTTAAAAAATAAGACCCAGGTTCTTATTCTAGCACCACCAATCACAACATATGTGACCTTGGGGAAATTATTCATCCTCTCCAGCCCCTCAGATTTCTCATTTGTTAAAACACTGGCTCCATTATTTACCTCCTATGATCACTGGGAAGATGAAATGAGATATATTGTATGTAAGGCTCTTTGTCACTCTATAAATGAGTTATTATTAGTACTTTTTTCAACAAGTCTGTAAATTCCTTAAAGACAGAAATCATTTTATTTACTTTTTCTGCATGTCTTCACAGTGCTAGGCACAAAAATGTCCTGGGACTAGCATTGCATTGCTGACTTGGGTTTGTAGTAATGGCCAATACCCTGGGCTTATTCTCTACCCCCCCTCCACATCCCCCCCCTCTGCTTCACAGAGACCTCACCCCTGACGACCAGATTGTGTTACTCAAATCCAGTGCCATAGAAGTGATCATGCTCCGCTCCAACCAGTCCTTCACCATGGATGATATGTCTTGGACCTGTGGTAGCCCAGAGTATAAGTACCGTGTCAGTGATGTCACCAAAGGTGAGTCACTCCAGGCCCTCTTCACCCAATCTCTCCTAGACCCAGAAGAATCAGTGGAGGATTGGGAGAGTGAGGGAAGCAACTCAGCTAGCTTCACTTTGAGGAGCTAAACTCTGAATACTGCCCACAATCCATGGCTTTTCTCCTCCACAGCTGGACACAGCCTGGAACTAATTGAACCACTCATCAAGTTCCAGGTTGGGTTGAAAAGCTAGACTTGCATGAAGAAGAACATGTCTTACTCATGGCCATCTGCATTATGTCCCCAGGTACTGGGCCTACAACCAAGGCCAGAGGGGTCAGGGAGGTCCAAGGAAAACTGGAATCTGGCTGGGTGGGGAAGGAGGGGCCGACTGGGGAGCATGGCATGAGTTGGGTATGAGGTCAGTAAGGAGATTCCCATATGATTGGATCCAAGCTATGTTGAGAGAAAAGATAAATGACTTATCTTTATTCTCAAATCCAGTCCTGAATAGAATGGAAAGGGTTTCCTCTCAAGCCAGCACTTACTCCACGAGTAAATGATTATCTACATCTGTAGCTAAAAAAGATGTAGTGGGGAGGGGGGAAGTGTCCGAGGAGCCCCAGCGTCAGTGCTGTATTGAGGGGGTTCAGAGAAGCCACCCCTGCCACTCTCTCTCCTACAGACCGGCCTGGGGTGCAGGATGCAGCACTCATCGAGGCCATCCAAGACCGGCTCTCCAACACGTTGCAGACCTATATTCGCTGCCGCCACCCTCCACCTGGCAGTCACCTGCTCTATGCTAAGATGATCCAGAAGCTAGCAGACCTGCGCAGTCTCAATGAGGAACACTCGAAGCAGTACCGCAGCATCTCCTTCCAACCAGAGCACAGCATGAAGCTCACTCCCCTTGTGCTTGAGGTGTTTGGCAATGAGATCTCGTGACTGGGGCAGCCAGTGCTACTACCTGGGTGGGAGGTGCACTCCCAGGGGTCGTGCAAATGGGCATCCAGCTCCAGAGTCCTTTGGTTACTTGCTGCTGAGCATCACTCCCCACCCCTCTGTAGCTCAACCCCCTCCTTGCCTTCCTTCCCTTCCTTCCCCCACCCCAGGTCAATCCTTTCTCCTGTCCAGCTTGTGTGCCAGGGGTACCAGGACCTCTCCCCACCCCATACCCTTTTGAAGGCTTCCCAGCCCCTTTGGACCTCAGTTAAAAGTCACTGTTTATTTGACAAGGAAACTCAAAGGAGACAGAGATCAGAGGGCAGGAGCCTGAATGTTAAGGCTTGGCTTGGGGATGGATGCCTGTATCTTCCCCAACATGGCAGCCAGCAGGTTTTGTAATCATGTAATAGACACATGTCCACTCCTCAGGGACAGAGCCATCTGTACCTCCAAGACACCTGAGTCCCAGAGGGATCCTTCAGTCCCTGCCCCATCTCCAAAGATGAATAATCTACTTGCATATATACATTTCCCTGGCCAGCCTGTACCACTTAGGAATTATAGTAGGGGTGGATTTGGGGAGTTCAGGAAGACTAGGAAAGGTGCAAGACATTCAGTACAATAGTTTTCCTGGGACATGGTGACTGTGGTAATAGTTACCTGCCTTCCCAAACTTTCCATCCTTCCTCCCTGTCTCTTCGGTGCCCACACTGCTTATGTATCACCATAGTAAGTGCTTCCAGAGCCTCTGTGGTAGCAGCAACAGCGGTAGTAAGCAGACCCCTTGTCCTGAGCTTGGGACCCAGTCAGCTGCATCTTCATTCATAGAATGGGGGCAACCATCAGGGAGCTCACCTGCTAAGGGGGATACGTGAAAGACAAAAGTTATAATGGAGAAAGCAAGCGAAGGGAAATCCATCTCTTGTCTTCTGTGGCAACTCCCAGGAATGTCGATAGCAGAAGGGCAGGGGGAGGACATACAGAGCTAGCCTCCTAAGCCTTCACAGCCTCTTCCTGGATTTCAGAGGCTGAGCTGTAAGGAGCTGTGGTGTGACAGAACCCAAAAAGCCCCTTGAAGCAGAAAGCATCATTCCCCACTCTAACCCCTATCCCTCTCATCCTAAGAGAAAGATTCCCTGAGGTTCTTTCTCATCCTGTTCCCCATCCCTCCAGCCTCTGCTCCTTTCATCCCTTCAGTTGGAAAATTGGGAAGCCCTCCTTCTCAGTGAATAAGGAGGACAAAGAAAAAAAGCTCCAGAAGTTGGCCCCCTTTCTCAAAAGAACTCTATTCCCAGAATAGATACCCTTCACTCACCCACCACCTCAAGACATCATCCTGTAAGAGTCAACCCCAGAGCCAAGGTCACACTCTCCTTCCCATTAGGCTGGAATTCTCCTGCCTCAGGTCCTCACCCAAGTAGTGCTAAAAATATTCAAAGGGGCCTGGTGCCTCCTACCCATTGGAGAGAAAGTAAGACTAGAGAACAATAGCCCTGGTTCCTTTCTTTTCTTATTCTCTACCTTGGGCCAGAAAGGAAGCCTAAAGGGACCCTGTTCTCTGCATGGGACAGAACTTCAAGGTCATCTGTTTTGACAAAGCGCCAAGCAGAGAGTAAGTGGGATACCATCACACAGGTTACTCAGGAATGGGTTCATTCAATGAGAGGTGTCGGTGGGAAGGGTACAGTTGATGTGGAAGGACAGTTGGGGTAAAGGGTTATTCTGAAGCAGTATCTTTCCATGACAGGGATTCTTAACATATTTGTGTCATGGACCCCTTGGGTAATCTAGTGAAGCCTTCTCAGAATAATATTTTTAAATGTATTAAATAGCATCAGATTACAAAGGAAGACAATTGTATTAAAATTATCAAAATATATTTTTTTAAATTTCACCAGTCTCATGTTAAGATTCCCTGTTCTATATGGATCTCTCAGTATAAATAGTTACTAGGCCACAGGACATATGTAAATAGGTGATTTATGTTAATGGAAACAATTCTAAAGAATGGTCAGAACTCTTCTGAGACCACCTGGCAGGAGGACAGCCCTTTCTTTTCCTTTTGCTTTCTTTGGTCTTCCTAATATCCCTGACTGGAATCAGAGAATATTAGAGCAGGAAGAGACTTTAAAGGTCATCTGATCCAACCCTCAATGCCCTCATTTTAAAGATGAAGAAACCGAAGCCCAGACTGGCAACTTCCTCAGGGGTCACACAATGTGTTGGGATTACAAACTGAGACTAAGACCCAAGACTGACTCACACACACACACACACACACACACACACACACACACACACACACACACACACACACACACACACACACACACACACTCACACTCACACTCACACTCTCTCTCTCTCTCTCTCTCTCTCTCTCTCTCTCTCTCTCTCTCTCTCTCTCTCTCTCTCTCTCTCTCTCTCTCTCTCTCTCTCTCTCTCTCTCTCTCTCTCTCTCTCTCTCTCATTTGTTCAGTCCCTCTGGATCGACTCAGCACTTTAGGAAGACGTTTTGTCTGGGTAGTCCTTCCCTCTTGGCTGTTTCCCTGTTGTGACAGGGTAGCTTGGTTAATGTTAATGTAAATTGGACTCTATTCTGACCATGGCTTCGTGGGGCCTCTCTTGCCTGTATGATGCTATTGCCTTATCAATAAAGTGCATTTGGCTCCGTTATGTCTCCACCTTCCCAGCTCTGGCACTGACCTCTAAATGAACTGGAAAAGCTGACCCTGGAATAGGTACACTGAAAGTATCCTATTCCAGAAGGCCCCTAGCTTTCTGATCCACTCCAGTGACATGGATATCAACCCACACCAGACACACTGGTAAGGGGAAGAATCAGTTAGCATCCATAGTATGGTTACTTAATTTTAGAAAAAGGAATAATGAGAAAATGTGGGCACTAGTCTGGCCCATTCATCCAGAAAGGGGTGCTACACTAGTAAAGAAGAAACAGAAATTTTAAAATTGAGATTTTGGGTTATCAAGCACAATGATATCTTTTCCTGGAGGACAGATCTCTAGCAATTCGGTGAAGTTGCATGAGGGCATATTCTAACTCAATTAAGAAAAAATAACCCAATAAATAAAACTATACCAAAGTGGAATGAGTTACCTGGGAGGAAGAGAGTTTACTGTGATTAAAGGTTTTCAAGCAGGGTTGAATACTCACTTATTGGGAGTGTTGGAGATTCCCGTTTTGGTTCAAGGTTGTAAAAGGTATCTTCTGATGTCTCAGCTCTACAGTTCTGTGGATCTAAGAAGCCTAGTGATTATATGCAAAGGATGACAAATAGACTCAGGAGCCAAAAAATAAAAAAATCTGTTGATGGTTACCTGGGAGTCAGCTTATTGTAGGAAGAAAGACATCTTTTGAAAAAAGGAAAGATAACTCAAGTGAGTAGGGAGAGACATTAAATCAAAGAGTAGTCAAGATTCAGAATGTTAAAGTCAAATTGATGAAAGGAATGGATAGATAGGTAGATAGGGCAAATAAATGCAGCAAATCACCAGGCTGGGTGAACAAAGTACTGAAGGAACTTAAAGACTAATTTGGGGGATTATTGGTTCAAATATATAACTTGTCTGCAAAAGACCTCTGTGGTAGAAGATTGATGGGTCACTAATGTGATCCTTGTACATCAGAGACATGGCAGGGAGAACCTGGGGAACTTCCTATCAATGAAACAGCATGGTGTAGTGAATAAGGCACTGAACTTGGAGTTAGGAAGACCTGGGTTCAAATCCTGCCTTAGATATTTACTAGCTATGTGGCCCTGAGCAAGTCACTTAACTTCTCTAGGCCTCAGTTTCCTCATTTGTAAAATATGTGGGTTGTACTCCACCTCTGAGGTCCCTTATAGCTCTGAATCTATGACTATGGGCTCTAAACAGATTTTCAGAAGTCTATGACAAACAAGAAAAACCATTAGGGGAAAATGCAAAATGGTTTCTGTAAGGGGAAATTGTTTCTCATAAATTGTTTGTAGTTCTTCGAAGGAGTAAATGTGGATAGGAAACTGGTTTAGAGATAGGAGACAAAGAATGGGAACAGAATCACAGAATATTGCTATCAGAATGGACCTCAGGGGTTATCTAGTCCATTCTTACCTTTACAATATCTATTCTCCAGATGAAGATCTCAAGTTCTTGGGAACTCCCTATATCCTAAAATAATACATTGCACTTTGGAACAGCTCTAATTGCTAGGAAGTCAAAATCTATCTCTCTGACACTTCTTTCCACTGTTCCTTGTTCTGATTTATGGCAACAAGTTGTTGTCATTGTTCAGTCATGTCCAATTCTTCATGACTCCATTTGGGGTTTTCTTGGCAAAGATACTGTAGTGTTTTGCCATTTCCTTCTCCAGCTTATTTTACAGATGAGGATACTGAAACAATCAGCATTAAGTGACTTGCCCAGGGTCATATAGTTAGTAAGTATCTGAAGCCAAACTTGAACTCAGGCAGATGAGTCTTCCTGACTTCAGGGCTGGCACTCTATCCACCTAACTGCCCCTATAGGAACAAGTAGAACTAGCTTAATTCCTCTTCCATGTGACAGTTCTTCAAATAATTCATGACTGCTATCATTCTCTCCACCATTGTCTTCTCTTTCCCAGCCTAAAAAAAAAATTTAACTGGTCCTTGTGTGGTTTGACCTCTGGTCACATCATCATCCTAGTCAGGAAGTTACAAACTCAAGGTTGTGAATGTTCATACCTAAAATGTAGAGCCCATAACAGGACCAGACATGGTCTGCCCAGGAAAAGTGAACAGTTGATTAAATAGATAGTGTTTGAGAATGGAGTTTGGATTTCTGGATCATGGCTTAAAATATAGGGATAACAAGCTATGAGCTAAAGATGGCATATACCAAAGAATGGCAAGAATGTATTTCTCTGAAGTCTTGGGAATCTAATTAGAAGGGCTTTAAAACAAAAGAGGAAGGAAGGTGAAGTAGCATAAAGGACAGTCAAATCCTATCCCACACATCCTACACACAGATCTAGAAAATGAACCACATTGAGTCCTGACTGGGAAGTCCAAGAGAAAAAAAATCACAGTGCATCTCTTTCCAGCCCAGAGAAACATAGGGAAACAGAGACATCTGTAGGCACTGGAGAAAAGCTTTAACCAAGAAAGGCCACCCAGAGTGTTCCAATATAGGAAGAAGCTGTGCACCAATGCAAAAAGACTCCTCATATCCAGTATGAAGGGACTTATCCTTAGAGAGAGTGCAGGAACAAGTGCCAACGCTCAGCCGTCACCCACTATCCTGTCCCAAGTCATAGATCCAGGGTCGACTAAGGAGGGGATTTGTGCTGAGCGGTGGCATTCCAGGATGAAGAGTGGTTGTAGGCCATAGGTGGTGTAAAAAGCTAGAAGCAAGTTCAAAAGCAAAAAACAGTTATGTGGTTGTGACTCCAGGAATGTAATGGGGTCTTAGTTTCAGCCTCCAGTCCAGTCACAAACTTGCTGTGGAATACCTAGGGCAGGAATCCAATAACAAAGGACAGCCTGAAGGTCTGTCATGCTGAATAGGGAGATGGTTGATAGTGGCTGAGTTCAGCTGTTGTCTACTGGAACTCCAGCCAAGGGTAAGTCATCAGGCACATTGCTCGGACCCAAACCTGGGTCAGAAACTTAGATAGCTCAGATAAAAAGGGACTTTGTACTTCATCAGACCATTTTGGAAGCACTCTAAGCTTGCAGGTCCCCAGTCTGAGCTGTACCTGAGACCCTAAAATAATACAACACTCAACTCCCCAAGAATGAATGAGCAGGATCAGCTTAGACATTCCCTCCAGAACTAAGAGCCCACTTAATATAGTCTCAAGTCAGGAAGCAGGCTGAAAGAATGAGCAAATAAAGTTTTAAAATCCTAACATAAAGAGCTGTTATGGTGACAGGGATGCTCAAGACACAAACCTAGAAGAAAATGACTCAAAAATATCTACAAGTAATACCTCAAAAGAAAACAGTTCGGGTACAAGCTCAACTAGAATTCCTGGAAAAGTTCAAGCAAGAACTTTTGAAAGAGTTTTACAGTTTTTTAAAATAAATCAAATGAGAGCACTAGGAGAAAAATTAGAAAACAAATGAGACCAATGGAATAAAGAATTGGAAATAGAATTATCTGCTTAGCACAAAAGGTACGAAACCTCATCCAAAAGAAAAAACTCCTTAAAAATTTGAATGGACCACTTGAATGATTCCATGAAGCAATAAGAAATATTAAAGCAAAGGGGAAAGGCTCAAAAGAGAAAATAAAATATAAGATATCTAATAGCAAAAACAATTGAATTGGAGAAAATATTAAAGAGGCATAATTTAAGAATCATTGTACTACCCGGAAGCCATCACACAAAAAAAGAATATCAAATGTTAAGAACTCATAAAAGAAAACTGCTCAGATCTCTTAGAACCAGAGAACAAAATGGAAATAGAAAGAATCCACCAGTTGCCTCCTGAAAGAAACCCCCAAATGAAAATTCTCAGTTACATTATAGCCAAAATTCAGAGCATCTAAATCAAAGAAAAAATACTACAAACAGCCAGAAAGAAAGAATTCAAATATTAAGGGACCGCAGTCAAGATCACAGTTTAGCAGCTGCTATGATAAAGAAGAGAGCTTGGAAAATTATATTCCAGAAAGCAAAGGACATAGGCTTATCACATACTCAGCAAAACTGACTATAATCCTACAAAATTTGCTTTTTAATGAAATAGAGGACTTCCAAGCATTCCTGATAAAAGAGCAGTAAAGAAACTTTGATGTTCAAACATAGGAGTCAAAAGAAACATAAAAAGGTAAACA